TAGTGTATCGCTACTGGTCTTTCGTGTAATCACACGAATGTAAACCTAATCGACTTTACTGTGATTCCTAAATGCTACGTTGGGAGACCGCTTCCAATAGCGGACATTGAGGGGAGGTGGGGGGTTGCAGCTCGACGACCTACAGGCCAAATAATTTTAGGGTTTATACTTGGACGTAGTAACCCCACGCAAATGTCCTTAACGGGGGAACAATTGAATCCTTTCCATGAAACTTAAGGGCAGAAAGAAGATATACCCTCAGGTACCAAGATGTCGTGCCACGCTGAGTGCAATTTAAGTAGTGTTCGATCTAGTCGTATCCTTACACTCTTCTACTTTATTCTTTTCAGGTGCATTAACTGTTCTTGTGACTGGTCAGAAGTAGCCGGAATTTGAGGGACCGGATAAACCGGTGAGAGTTCGGGTCTACTAGTGAGGAATTCAGGGTCACCGAGAAGGGACTTAGATCTACCGATGAGGTACCGGTTCCACTAGTGAGGGAACCGGGTCTACCGATGAGGGACCGGTTCTACCATAGCGGGAACCAGGTCTACCAGTGGGGTACCGGGTCTGCCAGTGAAGGACTCAGGTCTACTAGTGGAGGACCAGGTCTACTCATGAGGGACAGGGTAAATCAGTGAGGATCCGCGGTCGTCTTCTGGAAGTACTGTTTAACCGGTACTTGAGCAACGGTCTGTACTTTGATTGGTCCTGTAGGCCCATCTAAGATAAAGACTCAGCCACTTTTGAGGGTCCTTCTCCTTCAGACACCCCCTTTTCTGAGGTTGACCCCTTGTCCCTTCATCGTGCTGACCGCTAGTTCTACTATTCTTCGAAAACACTTTAACACAGCCGCCACCTGTTCTTGCTCAGCCTTACATCGGGTCAAGCACGAGCATGTCTTTCTACGTGAACACCGTAAGTCCATCGTCTTTAATCCTTTTGGTGTGGGCATTTATTTAATCGTGCCCGTGCATACATGTCTTTGCCCAGGTCCAACCCCCTCCTAACGCAATGGTCCGCACCCCGCGGTACCCCGGTCACCCCGTCCGATGGTGCGGTAGAGTCGGGCGACCCCACGTCTCGAGGGACTCCATCCAGGCTTGACGATCGGTAGGCCGCTGCAGCTTCCTCAACTTCGTTGGATCTCACCATCCCAGGCATAATACCTTTGCGTCCAAACCTGCCTTAGTACGTCCGTACCGTGGGCAGTTCGCTTCTGCAACTCCATGAGATCCCCCCGGACGCGATCACAGTCTCCCGTCAATGTACTCTACGACGACGATAACGGCGGTATCGTCGTTGAGATTTATGGCAGCGACTGCGTCGACCCCTTCTGTGAGCCGAATGTCGGATTACCCCAATACGGCGGTCTTTTGAAGGCATCAAGGGGTGCAAGATGCAAATTGACCCAGTTGAAGCTTATACATGCTTAACACCTGTGCGAGCTCATGTCATCTTCAATGTTTCACATACCTTCTACGTAGCCTCAAACCTTTGCCGACTCACTGACCATGTCCGGATGCGCGTGCCAATGTAATGTTTTGCCTGATGTGGTCAAAAATGGTTTCGTGCTCGCGAGTTGAATAGGCAAGCGGGCTCACACGCTGCAGTACCCTGACAAATTCTTTCTTCAACTAAATGCTCTACCACTTCGGCCGCTCCATTCTACACTCTCGCTGCCTCCAAAATTAGTCCTGCTGATGTTCACCCGGCTTTGCCGGACGTGCAATCGACATTGGCCGAGGTGACTCGTTGCGTCCGATCTTGCGAAAACCACCTAGCGGCCATTCCAACCCGCTAGGCCGACTGGATCCGCCTGATTGAGCGCATCTAGTGACAGCTGCATGACCACCTCCTCCCATCCGTCGACAGCGTGAGAGCCTTCAGTGTTAGAAGGCGTTAGTCGACCACTTGCGCTGGCAGATCGAATACCGCGGGTCCAAGTATGCTCTCCTCGTGACGCGGCTAAAGGTTCAAGAATTCTCATTCGGACCTCCCACGATGTCCACAATGTAGGCGAGGTTTCCGGCCGATGCTCTCCCCTACACGGTGTACGCACTCGACAAACGATCACTGCGGGCATCGTTCCGGGAGATGTCATAGGCTTGCAAGTCTCCGACTTCCAATACATCGAATCGGCCAGTGCGGAAAAGGTATTTTTAGCACGTGGTTTTTTCCGGCTATTGACTTGTATATAAAGTGTTGGCCTCAAAAGGAGAAGCCGGAAGCCACCGAATTCGACGAATCAAGGCTCGCCGAGACAAGACAAGACTTTAAGCAACGAGGGATAACTCGACGAGCCAAGACTTGACGAGGAAAGGCCTGACGAGAGAGCAAGATGATGACTAGTCCATCCCACTGTGTATTATTATATGAAGATTGGTGGGGGATGAAGGAGAACCACTCAATAGTCCTTTTGCAATCAGGTATAGCATAACAGATAGTCAATACAGAACATATTTTTTTAAGTATTGGACACGTGTACACTTCTGAGGTACGTCCTTGCGTGGACTGGGTTATGCCTGCGGTCGAGCCCCGAGGAGCATAGCTTGTAGAGGTCTTGATTGGAAGCACCAAGAGTTAAGTTGGCCCGGGGTGGGCATTACTCGCTTCAAGCAAAAGATTAGTCTCGTTGCACGGCGAGCCAATGACCCAGTAGACGGCACCGCTTTGAAGTCTCGTTGCACGGCAAGCCGATGACCCAGTAGACGGCACCGCTTAAAGTCTTATCGCACGATAGACCAGTTATCTAGTAGACTGTACAGCTTGAAGACTCGCGAACGGCAATCCAGTGACCCAATAGATGTCACTGTTCAAAGACTCGTCGAGCGACGAGCCAGTGGGTCTACAACCGAGGGCACCGTAAGTCTTCCAGTCGGGCGTATACTGCGCTCCGTGACCTGTAAAAGCGGGGAAACGCCGACGTCTGCCCATTGGTACGAGCTCACAGGATTGGAAGAACGGAAACTGCTGAGCTCAGGCAGTCTTCTGGAAAGGAGTGTGAGTGGTTGGAGGTACTCAGATAGGCGAGGGCAACAACTGAACCCGAAGGGGCGAACCGCGAACGAAATTGACCCGACGTACAAGCCCAACTGCGCTGACTATCTCGGCGATTGTTGTTTTGATACGTTGGGACTGTATCGACACAGATATGACTAACTAATATATCACAACTGGTGCCGCAACCCATGACTTCAGGGTGTGCGATTGTTTTAGCAGGTATGAAACAACAAAGGAACATTATGTTCATCGAGATCAAAAGACGCGAGCGGCACAAACCGGGCGACAGCCAAAATGACCTCGCGTGCTGAGTCGAACTCGGAGAAATGGATCATCACCCACGAGAACGCAAGGGTGGATCGAGACATTCATTTCGACGACTTCGAAGCGAGTGACCAAGATAGTGAGGAGGATGGACACGCTGATGAAAACAATGACGTTAAATTCAGCCATAAAGCGGGAGAACATTCGATACATTTGGGACACGTCAGCAAACCTCGTGGGGTAGAAATATGTCAAGCCGACGGGCGCGACGACGAAATAGATGGTAGTCAAGGTGCGACCCCAGGTGAGCTACTCCCGCTAGCTCCAGGTCCACGATGAATGAATAGACTCGTATGACGAATAGGGCTCTGTACCGAATCGCCGAGGAGATGAAGAAAAGTCGCTGGAGCCAACTGTTAATGCCAAAGGTCGCCTACCAAGCAACGTGGGCGAACATGATCAATGAGCTAATGCAACCCTCAACAGCATATCTCTCGAACACCTAGTCGACAGCACGGTGCTGCTTCTACGAATAATGGGGTACAAGTTCGAAATGGATCCCACGAAGCTGATGTTATCGGAATTTATGGTTCGTTTGGTAGGTAGCGAGTTGTTGAATTGGGAGCTTAAGCTGAAGGAATTGTTTAGGGTCTGAGGCAAAACGAAATCACTCGTTCAATTGAACCGTCGAAGTCAGTCGTACATGTTGATCGTGGAAGAAAAGAGACCGGGACCACTCCTCGACGAGCAAGTCATGCGAGAAGCCGAGGACATGGGAACGGCGAACACGCCGCTGCCAAAACCCCAGTGCCAAACCTCGGAGTCTTCTCTGGGGTGGAAGACACTCCGTTCCAAAGTGTTGTCCACGTAGTCACACGACCATGTAATCCACGAACAATGGAGACTCCAGCACAGAGGTATCAAGTGGCGACGGAAATGACGACAGGTGATGAGTACTACGAAAAAGATGAAGATGCGTACGACGATCAGTAAGAGTTCGTTGAGCGGTCAAATATTCTCAATAGAGAGTTTAGATACGGTGGTGCTGAATATGAAAGAGGATACGTCATGGAAATACGCACACAAGCGCCATCTGACAATATTGCCATGTTCGAGGGAATTTGATATTATTCTGACGATGCCTTGCAATGGATCAAAGTTTCACCTACGAGATTAAGAGGACGTGTGTACCGCAAGACGAGTGATCCGAGACTCTTTCGATATGCCTCGGTAAAGCGGTCAAGAGTCGGCATTGACAACTCCCGAAGAAGACTCAGCGGAAGTGGAAGCTGCTCGGCGAAGCGTTTATAGACTTTTACTGTTCGCAGTTCGATTGATCCGCTAGATCGAGGTTTACTCAGCGAAGTGTGGGGAGACCAAGCACGTGTGCGATTTTCTACTGCGACTGAACGGTTATGCACGGAAGGCGTAGATACAGAGTGAGAAAGGAGGTGCGGATGCGGCCAACTACGTGACATGGGTTGTCTATCGATATGACCTGCGAGACCATCCTTGGATTTCGCCAGACGAAAGAAGATTGCGCCAGACTGGATATGATGACACCAGACTAGCCTACCAAGTTTAACACTCCTCCTCAATATATTCATTCTCCATTTCACTACATTAGACTCGAGCCCCTCTGCAAGCCACGGGCCGGGTTTGTCATTTTGATATATCAAATTTGGCTAACTTAGTCACATCTCATCCCGTACGAGAATCCCGTCGCCATCATCATGGGACGGAATGAGGATGAATACGTCACTTACACCATCGTGACGTGCCAAGAAAGTGCGACTTCACCAGCTGAAGTCGCCACAATGAAGATAAAGCGCTTTCGCGGTGGTTCATCGAAGGACTGGCTCACATGGAGCATGCAGTTTCGAAGCCTCGCGAAACGAAAAGGCTGGAGAGCTGACCAACTATCCGTTCAACTTCTTACGCTGATTGACGGTGATCTGTTGCGCGAAGTAGAGCGCATTGCCAGCGATGCTTCCAGCAAAGGCCTGACATTTGAAGACTTTTACCGGGAGGTTGGACTTCTTCTGGTCCCAGCGGATTACTGTGAAGACCTGGATGAAGAACTATGGACACTCACCAAGCGCAGAGAAGAGACGGTACAACGCTGCACGGTACGGCTAAGACAGCTTGCACAGATGTACGTCGAGTTGCCCCAGGATTCGCAAACCATCTCAGAGCTTCAACAATGTCGATATTTTCGCCGCGCCATGCCGCCGCACTGGCAGGACAAGCTCGCGTGCTGCGGAATTTCGTATGAGACGGTGGACGAACTGGCGATGTATTTCGAGCGCCTCGAAAGGCGCGAGAGGCAGACTGGCCGGGATCGCCTAAACGGTCCAGCTATCCAGGGTGGTGAAAAGGGTCAAGGTCGGCGCGACCAACAACGCCCTACCGCTAACCAGCGCAGAGATCGGCGCAACCCTCGCGAGCATCGCGACACGCGTCAAGATCATCGAGACCGACCTGGTGTACAAGGAGGCAAGAAGAAGCATGACCGTCACCAAGAACACGGCAAGTGGTGTTCATTCCACAAATCAAGCTCGCACGATTCCAGCGAATGCTTTGCCCTCAAGAAGCAACGCGAAGAGCACAAGCCTGCCGAGACGAAACGAACTGCTCACAAAAAGAGTAATTACCCAAGATTCGAAGAGGAAGAGGCAAGCGACAGTGACAGCGACAGCGAGCTTAAGCTTGTCGGCCTTGTCAAGAAGAAGCAACCGAGCGCCAAGCTCGCCCCACTCCGGATCCCGGTACAATTCAAAGACGCGAGTGGCACCTTCAATGCCCTGCTAGACAGTGGTGCTTTGCGGAGCATAATCAACCAAGAAACTATGCGAGCCAATGCTCAGCTTGGGCATAGACAAGTCGAGTCGGCGACAAAGTTTCAGACGGTCAACGGAGAAGTCGCTAGTGCTGGTAGTACGATGGTACAGTTCCGCTTTCCGTCTCTCCAGCCTTCGACCATAATCACGCACAAGTTCGAAATTCTGGATCAGAGCCAGGATGCCATGGTGATCGGTCGTGATATCCTGAATGAACTAGGAATCGTGCTCAATTTTAAAGACGAACTGGTTCAGTGGGATGGTCACGATACACATTTAAACACCGGCGGGTCATCGTCTCCCAACGCAAGTGATTATGAATTCCCCGAAGAGAGCAAAGAAGTCGACAACACTGCAGTGCGACCAGAAGACCTCATGCCAGACAGGCTATCCAAGCCACTCGTCGGCAAATATCTCCAGCTTCTTCGCGATAACGAGCATCTCTATGACGGTCACTTGGAGAGGATGAGATTCGAAGACTACGCTCTACCAATAGTGCCGGAGTACAAGCCTGTACACGCAAAACCGTATCCAGTCCCAAGAAGCCTCGAAAACAAGGCTCGAGAGCTCATCCAGCATTTGGTCAGCATCGACGTGCTGGAGCAGATTTTTGATTCAGAAATGGCATCGCCTGCTTTTTTTCTCAAGAAGCCCAACGGATCACTTCGTCTACTGATAGATTTTCGCGGACTTAACCGATATCTGAAACGCAGCCCTTATTACGTCCCACGTATACGCGAGATCCTGTTGCGTCTCGCAGGAGCCAAGTATCTGTCAACATTCGATGCTAACATGGGGTATTACGCGCGTCGCCTTGCTGCCTCAAGCCGTGGTCACACAGCTTTCTGTCTTCCGTTCGGGAAGTATCAATACAAGCGACTCCCAATGGGCATTTCTACAGCACCGGACGAATACCAAGCCTGCATGGAGAAGATTTTTGGCGATCTGGCTTTTGTGGTAGTCTATTTGGATGATATACTCGTCTACTCCGATAGTGAAGAGACGCACCTAGAGCACCTACACATTGTGTTCAAGCGACTAACCAAGTATGGGGTAACTCTCAACGGAAAGAAGTGCCACATCCTCAGACAGTCCGTCGACTATCTCGGCTTTACGCTGACATCTCAAGGGGATCCAGCCCCAACAAAAGAAGATTCAAGCCATCCAACAAATTTCCGTCCCCAAAACCAGGAAGGAACTACGCCGCTTCCTCGGAATGATTAATTACTATAGAGATATGGTACCCAACAAGACGGCATTGTGCCAACCTCTCAACCGATTCACCAGCTCCAAAGTCCCGTTCGACTGGTTGTCTAGCGACACGGAAGCATTTTACGCTATCCAGAAAGCGTTTGCCCAAGCCGTACTGCTCGCGTTTCCTGACTTTGAGCAACCATTTCACGTCTACGCCGATGCCAGCGGAAAGCAAATCGGTGGCATCATTATGCAGAAGAACAAGATTCTCGCCTGCTATTCCCGAAGTCTCAACAAGCATCAAGTGAATTACACAACGATGGAGCTTGAGCTACTCTCTATCGTTGAAATGCTGCGCGAATACCGCACCATGCTGATCGGGTTCCCTGTGGTTGTTCACACCGACCATAAGAACCTAATTTATCCGACCGAAACCAGCCTGCGCGTTAAGCGCTGGAAGCTCCTGTTGGCTGAGTACAGGCTATCGATGCATTACATCAAGGGAACCAAGAATGTTGGTGCTGATGCGTTTTCCCGGATGAGATTCGATGCGATTAACGCGAAGACTCATTTGCAGCTCGCGGACGAGATATGCGCTACCGCTGATGAACCAGATTGTGTCATGCATGGTACGATTCTTCGCGAACATCAAGATAAGGACTTGATGATTCAAAAAATCAAGACAGCTTGCCTCAACGGCAACAACAATCCTGACTATCAGCTTCTACCTCTACTCGGCTGCACGCTGGTCGCGTACCACAAGCGCGTCATCGTGCCCGATAGCTTGCGAGAAGATCTCATTCGTTGGTATCATTTAACGCTCAGTCACCCTGGCGGTGAACGACAGTACAAGACAATGAGGCAGGTTCTCTACTGGCCCAGAATGGAAGCCGCGATCACCAAGAATGCGAAAGATTGTCTAATTTGCAAGAAGGCAAAGGTCCACGGAGACAAGCAGGACTATGGATTACTACCACCACGAACACTCAAGACGGTGAACCCCTTTGACACCGTTCATGTCGATCTCATTGGTCCCTACGAAGACGGACACTACGGTATTACCATGATTGACCATGCGACGCGTTGGCTGGAAGTGGGTATTCAGCACGACAAAACTTCGCTGACCACAGCCGAAAGCTTCGATCGTGAATGGCTGTGCCGCTACCCGCGTCCTGTAACGGTTATACACGACCTAGGAACGGCTTTCACTGGTGACGAGTTTCAAGAATTGCTCCGCAGCTACGGGATACAAGCCAAGCCTATAACAAGCAAGAACCCTCAAGCTAACGCTATTTGTGAACGCGTTCACCTCGAGATTTTAAATGTCATCAGGTGCCACGATGGCGCTGACTGGAAGAAAATCATTCACTACGCTGCATTCGCCGTGCGAGCAAGCTACCACAGCATTCTTAATGCTTCCCCAGGTCAACTACTCTTCGGTCAAGATATGATCACTCGTCAGCTTTATAACGCCAACTGGAGCTATCTATCGAAGCGTCGTTTTGATGCAATTCTCGCCGACAATGACCGCGAGAATAGCAAACGCCTCGAGCATTTCTACAATACGGGAGACCACGTGATGTTACGCTTCCCCAAGAAGTTCCGTGCAAAATTGCACGCAGTGGCAACCGGACCTTTTGTTATCCGCCAAGTTCACAGCGACGGCACTGTGACCATCGACAAGGGAGCAATGGCAGAACGTGTGAGCATCCGCCGCATTTTTCCGTGCTAAATCTCACAGATCATGGGGGGAGTATGACATGGGTTGTCTATCGATATGACCTGCGAGACCATCCTTGGATTGCGCCAGACGAAAGAAGATTGCGCCAGACGAAAGAAGATTGCGCCAGACTGGATATGATGACACCAGACTAGCCTACCAAGTTTAACACTCCTCCTCAATATATTCATTCTCCATTTCACTACATTAGACTCGAGCCCCTCTGCAAGCCACGGGCCGGGTTTGTCATACGTCGAGCAATTCCTGTTAAACCTAAAGACGACGACTTGATAAATCTGATCTATCCGCAACGACTCGATAATATACAGAGCGTGGATAAGATCGTTAGTCATCGATTTCTCGGCGAAAAGCGAAAGCAACAACGTGACCGAGTGAATAACGGACACGGGCTAAGTTGCCACAAAAAAGAGAAACGAAATATTCGACGGAAGGAAAGGGATGATGGTCTTCGTCGAAGCAAACCAAGACGTGATACAAGGTTCCACAATCGTCAAAGTGGCCTACCTGGTCGTCGAATAGACCGTTGGAAAAATTAAGGTGATGAACGACATGGTCCGATGAGCTGGAATAACAACGAGCCTATGACTGTAGTAGATGTATCACAATTTTATCAGCACCCATGGGAGATCTGCGAGCACCGTTTGACGAGCGCTGAGGGAGCCGTAAAACCAACTTGTTCGATTTTTCGTGTGATGGGAGAAAACCGGAGTGACTACAATTACGACACATTTATCGGACCGAATGAAAGCATGGGCAGAGGTAAGTCAAGCCCGAATTCCATTCTATCGTCAAGATTATTCACGATCCCACGTACCACGGGTACCAAGATCGGAAAAATTATACGGCTGACGTGAAAGAGTGGACTGAAAAGTAAGCATAAATTCGTCACATGATCGACGAATTTACGGGTCGTGCGGTGCATGTGGTGCCAGGGGACACGGCGCTCATTTTCGGCGGACAACGATTAAGTTCTGCAAAAGGTTGCATGATGTCGGTCGGTTATTGTTGTTTCTAAGATTTTAGAAGCTGGTCAAGTTTTAAAGGCCTAGGTGGATAAATAGACTGTGCCAGAAGATACCACGACATAGACTCGTCGGTTCATTTCAACTATTAGGCTCGCCGACTCTGAATGGGTCGGACAACAACGAGCTGCCATATTCAGTTGAACCAGCAGTAGAAGAAAACTACGTGTTTGCCTTCGTTGGGGATACACAACGGCCCGACGAGTGGGGAGGTGAAGATGAGGAGATAGAAAGAGATGATTGAGACGATGATGGAGGCAGATCATTTGCAAAAGTGGACACAAACATACAGCCGTGTGCTAAGAAAGGTGGTGACGATAAAATTGAAGCTGCTATCAGGAG